TGTTCTAGTTCTGTGAAAAATGTCATTGGTAATTTGATGGGGATTGCATTGAGTCTGTAGATTGCCTTAGGTGGTATAGTCATTTTGATTCTTCCAGTCCAGGAGCATGGTATATTTTACTGTTTGTGTCATCTCTGATTTCTTTCATCAACGTCTTATAGTTTTTGGAGTGCAGGTCTTTGCCTCCTTAGGTAGGTTTATTCCTAGGTATTTTATTCTTTTTGATGCAATGATAAATGGGATTGTTTCCTTAATTTTTCTTTCTGATCTTTCGTTGTTAATGTGTAGAAATGCAACAGATTTCTGTGTATTAAAAATCTTGTGTCCTGCAACTTTACTGAATTCATTGATGAGCTCTAGTAGTTTTCTGGTAGCATCTTTAGGATTTTCTATGTATAGAATCATGTCATATGCAAACAGTGACAGTTTTACTTTTTTTCCAGTTTGGATTCCTTTTATTTCTTTTTCTTCTCTGATTGTTCTGGCTAGGTCTTCCGAAAGTATGTTGAAAAAACGTGGCAGAAGTGGACATCCGTATCTTGTTCGTGATCTTAGAGGAAATGCTGTCAGCTTTTCACCGTTGACTATGATGTTAGCTGTGGGTTTGTCATATATGGCCATTATTATGTTAAGGTAGGTTTCCTCTGTGCCCACTTTCTGGAGAGTTTTTATCATAAATGGTGTTGAATTTTGTCAAAAGCTTTTTCTGCATCTGTTGATGCATGTTGGGATGGTCATATGGTTTCTTTATTTTTTGTTAATGTGGTATATCACACTGATTGTTTTGCGGATATTGAAAATTCTTTGCATCCCTGGGATAAATCCCACTTGGTCATAGTGTATGATCCTTTTAATGTGTTTTTGGATTCTTTTTGCTAGTATTTTGCTGAGGATTTTTGTGTCTATGTTCATCAGTGATATTGGCCTGTAATTTTCTTTTTTTGGTATCTTTGGTTTTGCTATCAGGGTAATGGTGGCCTCATAGAATGAGCTTGGGAGTGTTCCTTCCTTTGCAAATTTTTGGAAGAGTTTCAGAAGAATAGGTGTTAACTCTCCTCCTCTCTGTGTTTGATAGAACACACCTGTGGTCCTGGACTTTTGTTCATTGGAAGATTTTTAGTCACAGTTTCAAATTCAGTACTCCTGATTAGTCTGTTCATATTTTCTGTTTCTTCCTGGTTCAGTCTTGGGACATGGTACCTTTCTAAGAATTTTTCCATTTCTTCTAGGTGGTCCATTTTATTGGCGTATAGTTGCTTGTAGTAGTCTCTTATGATCCTTTGTATTTCTTTGGTGTCTGTTGTAACTTCTCCTTTTCCATTTCTAATATTATTGATTTGGATCCTCTCCCTTTTTTCCTTGATGAGTTTGGCTAAAGGTTTATCACTTTTGTTTATCTTTTCAAAGAACCAGCTTTTAGTTTCATTGATCTTTTCTACTTCCTTCATCTGTAGTTCATTTATTTGTGCTGTGATCTTTATGATTTCTTTCCTTCTACTAACTTTGGGTTTTGTTTGTTCTTTCTCTATTTGCTTGTTTTCATATCCATTCAGCCAGTCTAAGTCTTTTAATTGGAGCATTTAATCCATTTACATTCAAGGTAATTACTGGTATGTATGTTCCTATTGCCATTTTGTTAATTGTTTTGTGTTTGTTTTTGTAGGTTTTTTTCCTTCCTTTCCTCTTTTGTTCTTATGTGATTTGATGGCTGCCCTTAGTGTTGTGTTTGGATTCCTTTTTCTTTTTTGTGTGTATATGTATTGTAGATTTTTGGTTTGCAGTTCCCATGATGTTTTGATATGGCAGGCTACATATATACAAAACTGTACTCTTGTCTTCTCACGATTGCTGGTTTTCATGTCATATTTGTGTGTGGATGATTTCCTACTTTTACTGTATGCTTGCCTTTACCAGCGAGCTTTACCATTCCTCATTTTCTCGTTTCTAGTTGTGACCTTTTCTTTTTCGCCTAGAGAACTTCATTTAGCATTTGTTGCAAAGCTGGTTTGGTGATGCTGAATTCTTTTAGCTTTTGCTTGTCTGTAAAGCTTTTGATTTCTCCACTGAATCTGAACAAGAGCCTTGCTGAGTATTCTTGGTTATAGGTTTTCCTTTTCATCACTTGAAATATATTGTGCCACTCCCTTCTGGGCTGCAGAGTTTCTGGTGAGAAATAAACTGATAACCTTATGGGGATTCCCTTGTATGTTATTTGTTGCTTTTCCCTTATTGCTTTTAATATTTTTTTCTTTGTCTTTTATTTCTGTCAATCTGATTACAGTGTGTCTCAGCAAGTTCCTCCTTGGGTTTGTCTTGTATGAGACTCTGCACTTCCTGGACTTGGGTGACTATTTCCTTTCCCAGGTTAGGGAAGTTTTCAGTTATTATCTCTTCAAATACTTTCTCAGACCCTTTCTCTCTCTCTTCTCCTTCTGGGACACTTATAATGGGAATGTTGGTGTTTTTAACGTTGTCCCAGAGGTCTCTTAAATTGTCCTCATTTCTTTTCATTCTTTTTTCTTTATTCTCTTGTGCAGCAGTGATTTCCCACCATTCTGTCTCCCAGTTCACTTATCTGTTCTTCTGCCTCATTTATTCTGCTATTGGTTCCTTCTAGTGTATTTTTCATTTCAGTTATTGAATTGTTCTACTCTGTTGTTTATATTTTTTAGCTGTTTGTTAAACATTTCTTGTCTCTTCTCGGTGTGTGCCGCCATTCTTTTTCAGAGATCTTGAAACATCTTTACTGTCACTACTCTGATTTCTTTTTCAGGTAGATTGTCTATCTCCACTTAACGTAGTTGTTCTTCTGGGGTTTTATCTTGTTCCTTCATCTGGAACATATTCCTCTGCTTGTCCCATTTTGTCTAACTTTTTGTGTTTACAATCCCACAGGCTGCGGATTGTAGTTCCTCTTGCTTCTGATTTCTGCCCCCTGGTGGGTGAAGCTGGTCTAGAGGCTTGTGCAGGTTTCCTGGTGGGAGGGATTGGTGCTTGCCCACTATCAGGTGGAGCTGGGTCTTGTCCATCTGGTGCGCAGGGACTTGTGGAGGGGTGTGTTTGGAGGCGGCTGTTGACTTAAGATGACTAGGCAGCCTGTCTGCTGATGGGCGGGGCCATTCCCCCATCCTGTTGCTTGTTTGTGCTGAGGTGTCCCAGCACTGGAGCCTAAGGCTGTTGGGTGGGGCCGGGTCTTGGTGTCAAGAAGGCTGCCTCCAGGAGAGCTCACGCCGATGAGTACTCAGTGTTACCTCTGCCACCAGTGTCCTTTTCTCCACAAAAGTGAGCCACAGCCACCCCCCACTTCCTCGGGAGACCCTCCAAGACCAGCGGGTAGGTCTGGCCCAGGCTGATATGAAGTCACTGCAGTTTTCCCTGGGTCCCGGTGTGCATGAGACTATGTGTGCACCCTTCAAGGTTGGAGTCTCTGTTTCCCCAGTCCTGTGGAGCTCTTGCACTCAAGCCCCGCTGGCCTTGAAAGCCAGGTGCTCTGGGGGCTCCTCCTCCCGATGCTGGGCCCCCAGGCTGGGGAGCCTGATGTGGGGCTCAGAATTCTCCCTCCTCTGGGAGAACCTCTGCGATAATAGTTATTTTCCAGTTTGTGTGTCACCCACCCAGCTGGTGTAGGATTTGATTGTATTGTGAATGTGCCCCTCCTACCATCTCCTTGCGGCTTTTTCTTTGTCCTTGGATGTAGAATATCATTTTGGTAGGTTCCATTCTTTTTCTGTTGATGGTTTTTCAGCAGTTAGTTGTGATTTTGGTGTTTTCATGAGAGGAGGTAAGGAGGTGAGCTCAAGTCCTACTCCACTATCTTGTCTCCAACCCCACCCACTTTTCCTACTTTACTCTCTTTGGTACTTACAGAACTATATTAGCAAATATTAGCTTTTCGTGCATCATCAACTTTCTTGTCCCATACAAGGTGGTAAGGGACTAGGAATCAGTTCAGCAAGCAGTGGATGAGGGGTGGTTGAGCGGATTGGCTCAGGAATCAGAGTCCTGTGCTGTGGAGCTCACGGTGGTGGGCAGGCTGTGGGAGGGAAGCTCCAGCAGGGAGCGAGGCAGAGGCCCTGGGGACGGTGCTCGCTCTGTGAAGGCCATTTTAGTCACTCGTGTGTTCCAAAGTAGATCTAGTAAGGCTCCTGCCACTTTTAGAATTAAAATTCGTTACTACAAGTTTGCTTATTAGAGACACGTTGTAGCTTACCATTGTGAGGGAATTTTACTTCATAGTGATGGGCATGCTTCTGGAGCAAAGTGAAATCCATGTGAATAAAGCTTTGACAACAGTTGTATGAAATGACTTATTTTGGTGTTCCTCATTTTGTTTATTTTAGTAAGTAACAAAGAGGGTCTTTGATACCTTCCCAGAGATGAAAGGATGTTTTCTTCCCATTCATTCCACTTTATAATGAGAGGCCTTGCTTTAGGTGTATATGGTCTTTTTTTTGGGGGGGGGCGTTTATTTGGCCATGCCATGAGGTATGCGAGATCTTAGTTCCCCTACCGGGGATTGAACATGGGCCCTCAGCAGTGAAAGTGCAGAGTCCTAACCACTGGACCACTTGGGAAGTCCTGTATATGTTTCTAAGAGAAACTGTTTTCTTTGACCTTAAGAAGGAGATTGGGTCATATTTCAGGTCCCTATAATCAAAGATTCCCTTTACATTAGCGTAGTATTTTTGTGGGGCTGTGACTCTTGTGGGATCTTAGTTCCCTGACCAGGGATTGAACCCTGGCCCTCAGCAGTGAAAGCATGGAGTCCTAACCACTGGACTGCCAGGGAATTCCTCTTCCTTAAAAGAGTCAGTACTTAATAAATGTTTGTTTAGTGAGTGATTGCATTTATATCATGCAGTATTTCTCTAGGCTGCTAAAGTGAGTGGTCATGTAAATCATTTATTTAAATGATTTATTGATAAACAGTCATCGTACGATCTCTGGGTTCCCTGTTCCACTTGAAGATAATTGTATCTTAAAATATTCTGTCATTTTAGCTTCTGAAAATGCTTCTCAAGATAGAAACTCAGAGCAAATGGCTGAAGTGCACATAGACATTAGGAAGCTCCTACAGTTCCTTGCTGGACAACAAGTAAATCCTACAAAGGCCACATGCAGTAAGTTTGCATTTTGATTCGTTTTTCACACTTCAAGTACTTTCATCAACTGTAGTCTTAAGCGTTGTGTGCAGTTTCGTAAATGCAGGAAACAGCTCGGTCACTGGTGGACTCCAGTTTTCTGGGGTAGTCGGGTATTTGGGTTTTCCCGGCCAATGGGTGTGGGCTGCTTTGCCTGGCATCATGTGTGAGTCTGCACCTGGAGAGAAGCTGCATGTGGGCAGGGACGTCCAGCCCAGTCTTGCTGTGTTCCTCTAACCTTACGTATGTGGAGTCTCTGATACCGCTGGGCTTGGATTTAAGTTTCCATCTCAAAGCATTTCTTTCCTTCCTGTGTCTGAGCCTGACTTGTTGCAGTAGTCCAGTATCTTGCCATCTGTGCTTCCTCTTGACTCCTGACTTTTAACAGTGGTTGGCTCTGCTGCCCGCCTCTGGGGAGCTCTCCCCGCCGCCCTCAGTCTCCACCACCACCTCTGTGTGTGCAGCATGTCTTCTGAAGTGTCCTTCTGCTGGTCCCCTGTGTCCCTTCCCAACCTCCCATTCTCTTGGGACTGGTCTCTCAGCAGCCTGGGCATGTGCTCTTTGTTTGCCTTTCTCCTGCTGCCTGGCTCGTTCTAGCTTCAGCCAGCTTTCCTCAGGTGTGGCCTTCCCCATGGCTCCCCCTGCAGCTCCTGCCCTCGGTGGTATGGCCCTGGCAGCTGGGCTGCTTTCATGCTGCGGCCACTTCTCTTCCTCTTGTCTGGCTTCTCTTTTTGGTCTTGAGCCCCATGCCTAGGTGCTCACCTTAGGCTGCATGGTGCCTGCCCTTGCAGGCTGCCTTCTGCTCTCTAACAAGGTCCTGCATGCTTGGCTCTTCTCAGCACACTCAGGGCACCTGCTGATGGGAAGCTGCTTTTTTCCTGGAAGGATGGTGACTTGGGTACATGTGGCTTCTGGGAAGTCTGCCCTGTGGGTTTTTCCTTGGAGACCTTGGCCTGTTCCTCGGCAGCAGGTGAGCCAGCCTGGGCCAGGCCCCTGGTTTGGCATTGGCTGGGCCAGTTGAGACCAGTCACCTTGGGAGGGCCTGGGTGCTCCAGGAGAGGCTTGGGGGAGAAACTGCTACAGTGTTCAGGGTTGAAAGTGTGTGTACGGAATGGGTCTCGATGGTAATGGATTTCCTCTCTGCCTAGATATTGTGAAGAACAAGATTGTTCATTTTGACCTGCTCCATGAAGACGTCTCCCTGCAGTATTTCATCCCAGCGTTGTCGTAACCCCACCTATGGGATCGGGGAGCTCAGGGACTTTGGTCTGGACCTGAAGAGGCCGTAGGGCGATGTGTTCTAAGTCATTTGTCTCTGTCCCAACAGCAGTGAAATCCTATGTATTTTTACTTTTTTTCCCCTTCTATAATATTTTAACTAGAAATTGAATTAATGAATTAATGAAACACAGTTGGATAAACATTTCTTCATATTATTTCTTTATTATGTCTGCTTTGTTTTGCCTTTAAGACGTTGAAAACAAAAGTTAAAATTTATTTATTCATACTTTAAACTTTCTTATTAAAGTTGTAAAAATCCTCCTGTGTTTCAAATTGGTGTAGTAATCAAAACTGGCAAAGATAATGTTTGCTGAGCCTGGCACTTTTCCCCAAGGCACTGTCTCCAGCTCAGCATGTCACTGTGGGAACAGACCTGGGGCACTTAAGTTTCCGTGTGCTTGGAGCTCAAGAAGGTGAGGACGGCCCTCCTGCCACCTCTGTCCCACAGAGCGGACCCCGCAGAGCATCTTGGGGTCGGGCTGCACTTGGTGCAGCCTTGTCATGACGCCCATGGACACTGGAGTTGGCCCCTGTGGTGCCGTGAGGTGGTCCCGCTGCCCCAGCTCCCAGTGTCTCCCTGAGGCCGGTGTGGTCTCAGTTGTCATCTCACAGTTCTTTCTTCCACAGTGCATTGAGTCTGCCATTCTGGAAAGGGGAGAAGCAAACGAGACTTCGGTCAGGGTCAGTAGTCAGTGAGGACCCACATTTGTGTTTGGACGTCACAGCTGGTGCAGGTCCTGGCAGGCCTGCATTCTTCTCCTCCCAAAGGCATCCTGCATCATAATTCCTGTCATGATTGAGTTGCGCTTGTCCTGTGTGGGTGGACATCATAAACACCATCTCAGCATCACACTGCAGAACTGAGAAATGAGGCAGTTGCTTAGGATAAGAGGAAGAAATGGAACATCAGCAAAATTGAAAAATTATTTTATGTGTTTTTCCTATTGTTTGGTAAAAACCAGTGTATTTGGATGACTTCCAGTGCTCACTAATGTTAGTTCCAATGGGATGTAATATTCTGTTAAGCTAACACTTTAAAATCAGAATCAGGATATTATTTGAATTTTGAAGCCTCTCTCCTGTCTGTGGCTTATAGCAAACTAATTCCAGTTGCGGTGATAAAATTTAAAACTCATTACGTACAATGAAGCAACACTTGAAAGTAGTTTTATAAAACGTAGATTTCTGTTAAAATGTGGTAGCGACTCACCAATCTGGAAAACTCGCTATTTCTGATTGTTTAAATGATGATTTATAACGTATAATGAAGATAATCTAGGACTCTTTAGCGTAAGTTAATAATAACGGAGCACATCTCCTCATCTGCATTACACAACATGCCTTCAAGTTTTGTCTCTCAAGAATTTAACATGCATCCTTTGGCCTCCCACTGTCCGGGGTCAGATATGGTGGTCCTGAGGAGGACGCGTGGGCAGGACCTGTCCCAATCAGAGCAGTATGGACCCTGAGGAGCTCGAGTGACCTGCCCTGCGCCACACCGCTGGTGGCAGGGGTGGGATTCGAACACAGGGATTCTGATTTCCCTTTCCCTCGCTTCTGCTACGTGACCAGAATAGAGAATAATACGTTTCAGAGTTAACAGTAACCAACCATTTTGGGAATCTGGAAAGAACGTCTTAGTTTTTTTTTTGTTTGTTTTTAACATCTTTATTGGAGTATAATGGCTTTACATTGTTGTGTTAGTTTCTGCTGTATAACAAAGTGAATCAGCTATACATATACATATATCCCTATATCCCCTCATTCTTGTGTCTCCCTCCCACCCTCCCTATCCCACCCCTCTAGGTGGTCACAAAGCACTGAGCTGATCTCCCTGTGCTATGCGGCTGCTTCCCACTAGCTATCTGTTTTACGTTTGGTAGTGTATATATGTCCATGCCACTCTCTCACTTTGTCCCAGCTTACCCTTCCCCCTCCCCGTGTCCTGAAGTCCATGCTCTAGTAGGTGTGTGTCTTTATTCCCATCTTGCCCCTAGGTTCTTCATGACCATTTTTCTTTCTTTTTTTTCTTAGATTCCACATATATGTGTTAGCATATGATATTTGTTTTTCTCTTTCTGAATTACTTCACTCTGTATGACAGACTCTAGGTCCATCCACCTCACTACAAATAACTCAATTTCGTTTCTTTTTATGGCTGAGTAATATTCCATTGTATATATGTGCCACATCTTCTTTATCCATTCATCTGTTGATGGACACTTAGGTAGTTTCCATGTCCTGGCCATTGTAAATAGAGCTGCAATGAACATTTTGGTACATGACTCTTTTTGAATTATAGTTTTCTCAGGGTATATGCCCAATAGTGGGATTGCTGGGTCGTATGGTAGTTCTATTTTTAGTTTTTTAAGGAACCTCCATACTGTTCTCTATAGTGGCGGCACCAATTTACATTCCCACCAACAGTGCAAGAGGGTTCCCTTTTCTCCACACCCTCTTCAGCATTTATTGTTTCTAGATTTTTTGATGATGGCCATTCTGACTGGTGTGAGGTGACACCTCATTGTAGCTTTGATTTGCATTTCTCTAATGATTAGTGATGTTGAGCATCCTTTCATGTGTTTGTTGGCAATCTGTTTATCTTCTTTGGAGAAATGTCCATTTAGGTCAGCTGCCCATTTTTGGATTGGGTTGTTTGTTTTTTTGATATTGAGCTGCATGAGCCGCTTGTATATTTTGGAGATTAATCCTTTGTCCGTTGTTCATTTGCACATATTTTCTTCCATTTTGAGGGTTGTCTTTTTGTCTTGTTTATGGTTGCCTTTGCTGGGCAAAAGCTTTTAAGTTTCATTAGGTCCCATTTGTTTATTTTTGTTTTTATTTCCATTTCTCTAGGAGGTGGGTCAAAAAGGATCTTGCTGTGATTTATGTCATAGAGTGAAGAATGTCTTAGTTTTAAATCTGCTATGATAAAGTAAGTTTACGTGCAATTTTTTTTTTTTTTGCGGTACGTGGGCCTCTCACTGCTGTGGCCTCTCCCGTTGCGGAGCACAGGCTCCGGACGCACAGGCTCAACGGCCATGGCTCACGGGCCCAGCCTATCCGCGGCATGTGGAATCCTCCCAGACTGGGGCACGAACCCGTGTCCCCTGCATCGGCAAGCGGACTCTCAACCACTGCGCCACCAGGGAAGCCCTACATGCAATTTTTAAAATGTCATAAAACCAGATATAATTTCCCTCAGCTCTGCATAGTGTTCATTTAGGGAGACCTGATTTGGACTGTTTTATGGATGGCTTAGGTTTTCTCTGCATGGACGTGGCCGAAGGGGGCCTTCCTTGGAGTGGCAAAGCCGGGTCTCCTTCTGACTGTCAGCAAGTCTGGCAGCTCAGTGTCTGCCTCAGCCGTTGCTCCCGCAGAGCTGCTCAGAGCTGCTGAGTGAGGGTGGCCCTTCCTCCCATGGGGGAGGTAGCAGACGTGGCGACCTGGGGAGACAATGGTGCTGCTGTACAGAACAAGTATCCCAGGGCAGAATATCACTAGGTCAGGAAATAGCAGTTTAGTCCGTTTAGAAGAAAGAATATAATTTGAGAAATTAACTTATTTCAAGACTGACATCTCCCGATGTTGAGGTCTCTTCTTAACCTGCTCTCTGGGTTTTAGAGACATGCTTTGGCTGGCTGCGATTGTGGAAGGAGCTGCTGTGTGGAGGGCTGTCCTGGGTGGTCCTGCTCAGGCCCACGTTGCTTTGGGCACATGTCTGGGCTAAGTTTGGGGGCCATCCTGTATTGGGTCCGGGATGTCTAAGAATCCAAGCACCTCATCCACCTACATGCGGGGCCCACCTGCCCACCGTGATCCCCAGGGCCTGGTGGAGGCGGCCTGGAATGTGGCCTCAGCATCAGTCCTGCGCTGGAATTCTGGCTCTGCCCCAGGAGCGGGAGGTGTTTGATGGCTTCGTGTCCTTGGCGGATGCTGTCCGATGAGCAAGAGCGTCGTTTTGAAGAGATGCGGTTGTGTCCCTTTATGTGGATTCTAGTGGGGGTTCGAAAGGAAGCTTGGGCGTTTCTGTGTTTTTACAGCTTCTTCTCAGTGCAGGGGGTAAGAACCACCTGTTGTGAGGTGATCAGGGAGATACGTCGTCCCCTCAGACACTGCTATGGGAGTGTGACTTGATAGCACTTTTTTTGGAGTCCAGTTTGGCATTTACTATATATGGAAAGCCTTAAAATGGTATGTACTGTTTGATTAAATACTCATTAAATACTCCTTATAGGAATTTACATACATATTCAAAGGTGTTTTTTATACTCTTATACTGAAAAAAACATGAAATAGGTGATTGGTTAAACAGTCTCTATTTCATACTGTGAAAGTAATGTTACAGGGACTTCCCTGGTGGTCCAATGGTTAAGACTCTGCACGTCCAATGCTGGGGACATAGGCTTGATGCACGGTCGGGAACTAAGATCCCACATGCCACGCAGTGTGACCAAAAAAATAAAAGTAATGTTACAGAAAAAAATATACTGATATGGCAAAATGTTTATGACTTAAAGTTACAAAAGCAGACCAGGCATTAGTGTGTACCATCTGATCCCAGTTTGAAGAATACTAATGTACATGTGTATGTATGAGAAAAAGATTGGGGAGATAGGCACCAGTATTTAAACTTGGTTATTTCTGGATGTTTTATTTCAATTTTTGTAAATTAAGTATTTTCTAAAACCTTTATAATTTGCTTTGTTGGAACATATGTATATGTATAACTGATTCACTTTGTTATAAAGCAGAAACTAACACACCATTGTAAAGCAATTATACCCCAATAAAGATGTTAAAAAAAAAAAAACAACAACAAAAGGTAGCATTAGTAATAGCAGCAATAAAAGACTCAAATTTTTACTGAAAAAAAAAATTTGCTTTGTGACAAAAACATTTTTAAGGGACTGAGTAATAATATTTATTATTTGAATGCAGTGCATAATCAACTGGCAGTTACAGTTTCCTTAATATTGGACTTTAGACTTAATTTTCATGGCACGTCCTTATTCACAAGTAGAAAACTAAACTTGTTTGTCATGTTGAAATTACCACAGGTTTGAAATACTGAGTCTGGATCAATATGGTAAGATCGCTTCACAGAATAATCTCTTATCGTGGGCCCATCACGCATGAGGCTGAGTCAGTGTATGTAAGAAAGTCTTTGTAAGACAGTTCAAGTTCCAGGCCAGGGGATTTGGGGAGAAGTTCCAGGCCAGGGGATTTGGGGAGACAGACTCCTGATGACATGAAAGA